ACCCCTGACCGCTGACCAGGCTGGGGTCATAATAGGTTACATATTCTCTTATGTCAAACTTAAACAAATATTCAAAGGTTTTCATGTATTCAATGGAATCTGTAGGACCTAATAAACAATTTGCAGGTGAAAATATTCACAGATACAGAGATTTTTGCAAAAAAAAAAATGTGGTTATTGTTTTCTGGAAAACACGAAAAAATATACTTATTTGAAATAAGCAGTCTGAAATTATGTTTGTACTGTGTCTGTCTCTTTAAGGCACAGGCTCAGAGTTAGTGTGCTGGGGGAAAACAGGCCTGCATTTTACAATACAGGAAGAAGCCTTTCTAATGGCTTTCTTTTCAGACTTGAAATGGTACTATTATGATGTCCAAAAACTCTATAAATCAGTCTTTTGGAAGTTGCTCAACTTTTCCAGAAAACACTTACTGTGTTCTTTTCTGCAAAAATCACCATGTCTGTGAATATTTTTGCCTGCAAATCATTGATTATGTCCTATAGATTCCACTGATACATGAAAACCTCTAAATATTTGGTTAAGTTTGACAAAAGAGAAAGTATAACCTAAATTTGTGGCATTACAGCCATACCAATACCAATGACTGCGACTTTTTGGCCTCTACAAGAATATCATCTCTAATTTGCCCCAGTTTACTGCATCCGTACCATAAAGATTAACGAACACTTGAAACTTGGTATAATGTGTAAGTCCAGTTCAAGCTCTTACTAAAATATGTTTTGATTTTATTACAGATGCTAGTGACAAATGTGTATGTCTTATATGTAGCTAGACTTACAAAAGTCATGTATTGTGTCGTCTTGAAGTTTATGTATTATATTCCCAGCAGGAGTCATGTTCTTATAGTACCAACACCCTAGCTACCGCATTTTATACTTGTATGGCTTAATTTGTTTTGGACACCAAAGTCTCAGTTGGTTATATGATATTATTATTATTATTATTATTATTATTATTATTATTATTATTATTCAGGTCATCACAGGTTACATCCAGGTGGATTTGAACACAAATAATATACAAAAAAAAAAAAGAAGCAAATTAAAATCTCTAGCTATGCTTCATTAAACATTAACCTAATATTTTCCATTTGAAGATATATCTTGTATTTTTATATATTTACATTATCAATAGATAAATTGAGCAATTTCATAAATCTATGTCCTGTAATCATGTTAGTTTATTTTCATATAATTTTTACAGATACAATAACTAGTACCTTTTTTTCCAGATTTTTGCAATAGTTATTTATTTATCACTACTTTTCCTTTGTTTTATTGCATCTGTTACAATTTCTCTTCATATAAAATATATATAATAAAGAGCAGAAGACTACTAATGAAAAAATGACAAAAACTGTTACTAATCTTCAGTATGTGCTTTTATTTACTCAGATAACTATAAAATTACAAGCTAGAATTGATGATAGCTCTTGTAACTTATTCCAAAAATAATAAAATAAAATTTGTTTGTAAATACTGACATATTAGTTTATATTATTATAAAGAAGAAATGACAAATTAAAACAAGCAAATATATAAATTTCCCGTGAGGTTAATATATTTGGTGAATGGAAGATTCCCGGGTGGTCATAGTTGCTATAGGATCAACAGAAAACCTGGAGCATTAGCACTAAAAGTAAAGCCAAGTTACAGACCATAGCATTTTTTTCATTTTCCATTTTATTTCAGATATGGCAGTTTCTTTAATCAAAAGCATCTACTGCCAGACAAGGGAAGAATCAGTGATTTTTCCTGAAAGGGTTTGCAGGCATAGCTCAAAAGAAACAACACCCAGATACTACAGTGTATTTATTGCATTTGTCTTTTAGGGTATACCTATGCATTAGAGAAATTTGAATACAAAAGTTGAGTGCTTAAACAACACTAGCAGATTATATTTGCAGCAAATGTTCAAATTATGATCCAATTTCATGAATGGAAGTTTATTCCCTTTATACCATGTTAGCAGAGGTTGTGTGGAGTAATGGCTACAAGTGTAGTTTCCAGTTACTCTCCAGTTCTTCTGAGATGAAGAGGATAGTGCAGTAGTCAAGAATATGATGGCCCAGCAGAAGTTAACAAACAAATACAGCAATTCAAGGACATGTATTATCTGTCAGTTATGCTGTGGGACGCTTGACACTTGACAATTTAACCCATTTGCGACGGGTAAAATTGACCAAAAAATGGGGAAAATGCTGTGCTCATTTTTTATATTTTTTTGTGAAATATCTCTACACTAGATGGCTCTGCCTTACCTGATTTCACCTTGACTTGAATTGGCAGGAAAATGTATTTTTCACTAGTGCTCTGAATATTGATGGTTATTTTTATTATAAATATTATATTTACTATAATGTTATATACATTAGTATCAGCAAAATATGATAATGTAAAATATTTTTGTAAATTAAAGAAAGGGTAAACAGGCAAGACAGGCAGTATAAGTACAAGTGTAGCCATCTATGTGTAAAAACTATTAAACAAGTAAACTCACAGGGAGCATGTCACGTATACATGACACCCGGCGCGAATGGGTTAATTCTGACACCCAAGGTCGGGCAGCTCTTGACTGGTGCTGATAGTCTTATATTATAATTGGGAGATGCAAGGTCTACTTGTCTTAGAGACCAAAGATTATGAGGCTATCAAACAAAAACTTCAGCAGAAAGGCCAGAGTTTAGGAAAACATCATCTAACTTCAGGTTAAAAGTAAGCTTCAGTGTCACATGTCACTCTTCAAATAAAACGCCTTTTTGCAGGGTGATATGGTGGATGCAGAAAATGCACTTCAAACCTCAAAGTGTGTTTTACAGTATATGAATGTGATTGTAATACCCTTTCATTTTTATTACCAAGGTTCTAGAATAATATTTCCAATCTGATGTTTGCTACTTATATAGCCTTGAAGAAAAGCCTAGTTTTTATGTGCCAGGTTTAATTAATCCTTAATACACAAATTGGTTAAGTAGATTAGTATTTTCCAAGGTAATTATGAATTTCACCAGATATGTTATTGCTTTTGAACAGGGATATTACTCATTAGATGCAACTAATTTTCCTGTTCCTTTCTCAGATTGCAAGTTAGATGCAGTTATATGCTAGCTGCTGTTTGCTCTTTCACCTGGACTACCTGGACCATATAGCATTGCCTTCTCCTGTCCTTTGTGTCAGTTATCCATTTAGATCCTCGCCTGTCAGGTCTCTGAAAAATGATGTACAAAATGGACTTAATGAAGAAGTAAGTTTTACAGTATATGAATATAATTATAGTACCATTTTCTTTTTGGTGTACTAAACTTGCTGTTAAATATTTTCAGGCATACGTGTGTTACAAAAGTAGTTAATGTGAAAACAAGTAGAATAGGAATAGCCTAAGTGTTTCATTCCCGAATTCTTTCATTATTTGAACGCAAGAATTTGTTGAGCTGATTAGTATTTTACAATGCAATTTCAAATATCAATCAAAGTTTTATGACCTTTTTTATGCTAATATTAACCCGATGTTTCTGGATGGAATGACATACATACCATGTCCACTATAATTTTAGTTTATTTATTGTGTTTACACATTGATGGATCAACAACTACTAATTATTTATTTGGTCCTGTTCACACAATCAGAGTGCCCAGTGAACTTTACCTATTTACCGGACAAAGTCTGTGTATCATTATACACATGATAGGGGGAGTCATCTCGTCATATTCAGCAGCAACTGGTCATACTAAATGGCAGATATCCTTAGTTGATGATTTCTCTCAATTACAGACATGGGCACTCCGTTAGTTTGCCCATTAATTTTCTCAGAACAATGGGCGTTAAGCAAGTTCCTGCTAGGCAGTGCTTGATCATGTGGATGGGGCCTTAGTCATGTTTGTGTTTCTTCCTCTGATTGATAGTTGGATGCATTTTTATACCAGCTGATGTCCGTTCTGCACCCAGAACTGGCTTTCCATGAAGCATTTCCTCTATGTTAATTATATGAGTTGTTATGGATTCCAACCTTTTACTGTGCATAGCAGTTTCACCTTTTGTGATATTGCCTTTTAAGAGAGCAATTACCAATAAAACATAACCCATTTTTATGTTTCTTCCTTTCATTCTCCATTCACCTTCTTTTCCTTATTTTGTCTGTTTGTTAGGAACCATAGGGATCATTAGCTTCCCTGGCCACAAAACTAAAGTGAAATGCCAGAAAAATGTGGAGATCAATCAGCCATTGCTGCTTTTATGCAGAATTGTGTAATATTTTCTCAGATCTGCATAATTTTTCATTCATAATTTGTTTTTCAAGCGTCATCAGAAGTGCAGTAGAAATGACATAGGTGTAGCAGACCAAATTTAAAGGATTTTTTTATTTTTTTATTTAAGCCAGAAAATCTAAATAATCCAGACACACAGACAAAATGAGTGAATGAGAGTGAATGGACAAATGAGTGAGAAAAAGAATGACGGAAAGAAAGGGATAAAAAGAGTCAAAGTGTATGAATGAATGAGCAACAGAAAGAGATGGAATAAAAGAAGAGATGGAGAGATGAAACAAAAAAGATTGAGAATGAAAGAAAAGATGAATAAATAGATGAAAGAGAGAGGGAGATAGACAATAGAGGGGGGTTTTATTTGCTAAAATGCCTGTGTTCATGGAGAATTATATCCAAACTAAGAATTTAGAAAAGATATGAATGAGAATGAATGTCTTCACAGTACAAGAGATATATTTGACCAGTTTCAATTATATTCATGTATTTCAGATGCAGATATCATCAAAACCAGGCCGATATATCTTTTGTATTGTGAAAATATTCATTCTCATTGATGCCTTTTCTACACATGGCACAATAAATACTTTTCAGAAGTCAGAATATCAGATGCTTTTTTAATATCATTACTGCAAGGCTCTCATCTGCTTGAAATTGTTGTCCAAGTATTTATTCACTTTTGTAGATGATAAAAGTTTGCTGTGACTCATAATGAATAGGATAATGGAATTCAATAACTGTTATATTAAATGTATTTATACATATATGTGTAAAATATTCAATGTGTCATCAGATTTAGATCGCTCTTAATACTAGAGTATGTCTTCATTATAGTGTGGTAAAACCAAGACAAAGCTTGGTCTGCATGATCAAGGAGTCAGTGATAAGTAGAGGATACAGTACATCCCATCCTAGCCCTGATTTATTGATCTTTAGCTACAGCAATTTCCCCAAGCCTCAGGCAAAGTTGTTCCAATTTGAAGCATTTTTTTTTTCTTAGTTTCTAATTCTTAATTTTGGTAAATGCTAAATTTTAGACTATAAAGTACAGTATCCCTATAAAGGTCAGAGAAAATTTAGGAATGGAAGAAGAAACAGACGGACATAGTGGGTTGAGGAGAGAGGCAGTGTTGGGGGTCCCATAATGCAGAGTTGCCAAGTGTGTATAACTTATATAAGTTTTTGATGTTATCATAGTAACTGTAGTAGAATTATTACTGTTGCTACTCTTACTACTAATAATGGTAATAAACATTAAGAATCACAACAATAAACTAATGATAAAAAAAAATCCAGAATACAAATGGCAACACTCATCCTGTCCCTGGCTGCCTCTCTAGGTTAAGTACTGTACATTTTAACCTGCCATGTAGTTTAGAACCATACTTTTACACAGTCTACCTTATTGCCTTATTGTTATTATTACAATGCACACATACACATACATACAAGCATGCATGCATACATACATACATACATGCATACATACATACAATACATGCATGCATACATACATACATACATACATACATACAATACATGCATGCATGCATACATACATGCATGCATACATACATGCATACATACATACATACAATACATGCATGCATGCATGCATGCATACATACATACATACATACATACATACATACATACATACATACATACATACATACATACATACATACATACATACATACATACATATATATATATATATATATATATATATATATATATATATATATATATATGTATGTATATATATATATTTATATATGTGTATGTGTGTGTGTGTGTGTGTGTGTGTGTGTGTGTGTGTGTGTGTGTATATATATATATATATATATATATATATATATATATATATATATATATATATATATATATATATATATATATATATATCAGACTGTATTGTCAAGTGAAGGAGATAGAGGACTAGCTGACACCCAAGATATTTACATAATAGCAGAGGTCCTTTTATAGTGAGAATAGACAGTTTGAGCTTGTGTACAATATACCCCCAGTTGGGTAGTGAGGAAAACATGTGATATGCTTCTGTTTTATTCAGAAAAAAGTTCTGTGAGCACTGTTTTGCAGACGCCTGTTGTAAGATGTTGTAAAAAAAACAAAAATGTTATTCTGAATTTCATATTAGGGTTATGTTTATGATATGGAAAATCTGTAGAATTTTATACATTATAAAGTGTGATGTAATCATAAATGATTGAATGTATTAAAGAAATGACAATGCATGTATCTCCCAAGAATGTAGCCAAAGATGCCAAGAAATCATAAGAAATCTATCTTTGACCCGCTGGTTCGTGCATATTTGCACTTGACTGAAACTTTTTTTTTATTATTATTTTTAGTGTTGCATAATACCTATGTACAGTATATTTTCTTCTAGTATGTGTAAGAAAGTCTGCAATTATTCTCATTTGGGTTAATATTTCCAGGAAATTGTTGTGAGGGATTCACAATGCAGAAGTTGCAGGTTATGCCCAGAAAGGATTCTGAACAAGACGCCCAATGCAGACGCAAAAATGTAGCGCAAAACACAAACTGGTAGGTGGTTTTAAAAACGGGGAAAATTATTATAATTCTTGTTCTCTTTCATTTTGGTTCCATTCATTTATTACCCAACATTTTTTTTTATATATTTCCAGTATACCTTCATGTGTCTGCATTTTCTGAAAGCATAAAAAAAAATGATGGCTATAACTCAATAACAACAGGTAAAATTATTTGTGAAGGCAGGGTGATTGTTCAGCTCACAATAGGGCACTCAAGACTTTATCCTGGTAACTGGGACATAAACTCATGACATGGTTAAGCATCACCTGACATTAATAATTATTTATCATAACATGATGGCTCATCACATGTTGCCAGTGTTTTATACAATGCCTTATAAAAGCTGCCAGATTCTGCCAGTTTTTATAATTGCTTTTTTTTTTCTTTTCTTTTCTTTTTTTTTTTTTTGTAATTTTTCTGATTCAAAGATATATCAAGGATATCTTTAAGAAGCTTTTGTAAAAGATTATGAATGATTTAAAGATATAATATATAGATGTTGTGTTGAATTATCCTTTATAGGTGCTTCATAATACTGATACTCACCTCCATAGCTGTTTATATCCAGCATTTTTATGAAAGATAACCTGTATCACAACCTTGTTATTGTTCCTTTCCCCCAGGTTGCTTTCAGGCAACCACTTTGTAGCATACTACTGTAGCAGTCATATCTTTCCTTTAGTTTTGAATATACTTCATGTTTTCACACAGATAAGAGAGTCCCTACTACTGTATTTTGTATCACAGTGATTCCTAATTTTGGGGGGCCAACACCCCTGTAGCTACTAGGCTACATCTCTAGTGCCCCCCATGAACATGCAGCTTTAGTTGTATGTGAATTAGATGGAGTGCTTCAAGCAGGGAGATCACCTCAACATCACATTGGAAAGAACTGAGCATTAGTCTGAGATCTCCTTGTTCATTGATATTCAGTCTGTATGCTTGTTTGATAGCAGACACATAAACAATTTCATGCGTGATTTTTTCATAGTTCATTACAGAGAATAGTATTAGAATCTTGAAAAAAATATCAGCTATAATAGTATTAAGTATGAAGAAAATTATCAAGCAGTTTCCCTTTGACAGGCATTTAATTTCAGTATCAACAACAAATATTTCAGATCTTTATCTTTCACACAGCATAGCTGAGCAAATTTAAGAATTGAAAGGTCTCACTCACTTTACCTCACATGCAGAGCACTCATTGGGTTAACTCAAACAACAAGAGAAAACGGCAAAGGGTCTTCTCTTGTCACCACAGGCGAGTGTTCATGTGCACCTAGCCTACAAGCCGCACACCCGTCAGAGAGGCTGCTGAAGTAAGCTTAATACCCATGTTTTGGGCCAAGTGCAGGCAGGGAAGCATCCAGACCCAATAGGTTAAAAAGTGGTACATTAATTTGAAATCTGAGAAAAGAGATGTGTTCATAATTATCACCTTGCCACTGCATAGGTCTAGAAATATTTCCCCTATTTTCACTAAGCCCGATCCTTGTTAACCCATTGTCGCCGGGGATGGCATGTACATACATGCCATGCCCACTGTGAGTCGACTTGTTTGATTGTTTTTACACAAGGATGGCTACACTTGTACTAAGTATCCAATGAGCCAATTACGAGTACTGCCTGTCTCGCCCGTTCGTCCTTTTCATCGATTTACAAAAATATGTAACGTTATCCTAATTTGCTGTTGAAAATAACACCATCTATATTTATAGCACTAGTAAAAATATGTTTTTCCCGCCAATTCAAGGAAAGGTGAAATCAGGACTAGCAGAGCCATCTATGGACAGAGATATTGCACAAAAATATAAAAAATGAGTACTGCATTTCCCCCATTTTTTGTTCATTTTCCCCGGCGGCAATGGGTTAACCTATTGGATCCTGGTGCCTCACATGGCATTACTCTTACCTGAGTGGTAACTCAGGCTTGCCTCCTCTTTGCAATGTTATCTCTTTTTCTGCAGAAGCATTTTTTGTCATTTTGCCATTTTCTAAGGTCTATATTTGTCAGTTTTTCCATGAAGGCACATTTATGTCACCCAGTCGTTAATCAAATTTTTTCATGATGTGACAGTCACATCACCCATATCCACTTGGTTAATACCCTAATGTTAGCCAAGGTTGAACTGTCAAAAATGTTTTTGACTTTATCTTGTGTAGCCTTTGAAAAATAAAATTCTTAATAGAATATGTATTTCAATAAGTCATTTTGCCCAATAGTTTAGATAAATGTATTTCCACATTTCACTCTGTCTTCATGTATGAGTGTTGGTGGCAAGGGCATCCGACTGTAAAAACAAGCAAAGACTAAGATGTAGATCATTCTACTGGGGTGACCCTTGAGGGGAGAAGCTGAAAGAAAGAAAAAAACTATCTTCATATATCAGAAAGATGTCCCCTACTGCTTGCAAAGTTTTGTGTGAGTAGTTTGGGAAATACTTCCTTCTACTTTTTACTGCAGTGAGGTTTCTACATTAGTGTGAAGTGTAAGATGTATTGAGATTTTTACATGATATGAAGGATGTATGATATACTAATGATAAATTCATGCTAAAGTTGTAAACAACATAAAGGGAAAAGCCAAAGCTCTTTTTGCTTAATTGCTTCTTCAGGTATAGTGTGTACTAATCATGTTTAATCATGTATTTTACAAGTCTTCTCTTCATTGTGTTGATACTCTAGTAATCACTTTACTGCTTGCTGATTTATTGTTTAATGATTCATTGGTCTACTATGAGCAATGCTGAGCAAATGTGTAAATGTCACTGAAAGTTCCAAAGTCTGCATCCAAATTGTTTCTCTTTCACTCACTTGCATGATGTGACAGGTTAGGATAACCTGCATATGGAGTCAGAAAGTCTGTAGATTCAAACATATACTTTAATCAGTTATCTGTAACTCTCTGAACATCAGCCTTATTATCCCAGCAATATGAGCTTCTCTATTGATGAGATCTTACTGGTGTAACATGGCTCATATTACAATTGCCAGCCTCTCTCAGGATGCAGATAATTAAGGTTAGCAGGAGTTTAACCGTTTTGCTCCATATAGGTGAAAAGACCTGCATTGCTCGTGTACAGGGCACTCACCTACGAGCTGCAACTTTGAATGTGTTTTCCTGAGAGGCTCTTATCTAATACAGTTTCTTCCCCTCTCTCTCTCTCACACACAAACACACACACAGAAAGTTGAAAGGAAAGACTTGATGAAGCCTCAAGTTCGTTTCATGATAAACTAAGGTAAACTCTGCAGCAACTAAAATAAAATGGAATTATGACACTAATATTGGCGTCACAGTATATTTCACTGGCACTTCATGACGCCAAAACTGGCGTCTCCTTATGAAACACGTTAACTACCTCACATCAGATTCAATAATTACTATAGAATTTTCAAGTCTTGAGCATATATGATCTCCCTGAGAACATCAGGACACCTCCCAAGCTCTATTATAAGACCTATTGACTCTGTCATGATAGATGATTCCATCTTTCTATTGTATGAAATATCCATTAGTTTACGATTCCGTGCCAGGGATATAACAATATATTGTAGTCAAAAACTGTTTAGATGTTAACACATTAGTTTTAAAAAAAAAATTTTTGTTTGTTCTTATAAAGTTATACTTCAAATAAGAATAAAAAGAATTGTAACTATCTCTGTTTACCTTGCAGGCATGTTATAGGTAATACTATGCTGTTCTCAAATTTTTTGGTCCACACTGACAGATTTGCTGAATCAATGGTACAACCTAAGTGTTGTTATGCCAATCTTATAGTAAATATTATCAAACACATTTAGGAAAACCTGAAAATATGAAATTAATGGCATTCCATTTTCTTTCTTCTTCCTTTTTCTAGTGATGATGTAGACAGTGTCTGCAAAATATCAGAAGAAGAGTCAAGTCTTATATTAACTCAGTGTAGACGGGTCAGAAAACTGCTCTGCAGCTATTGTTCTCGGAAATAAAAGCAGCAATAAAAGCAATCCAGGAAATAGAAATACAGACACAGCCGACAAAACAAATATGCAATGGTTCTCCCAATAAACACACGGCCCGTCTCAGTACCCGTTCAAAGCTTCAGCGCACTCTGGCAGCTGGTTTGCATGTAACCCCAATCTCTAGAAACGTGAAAGTTTTCAGACTTACTGTAGCCATATGATATGTCATATGAAGGATATTATTGTCTCATACTGTAGTATATTACTTCATTTTAGGAGTGTTTAAGCGTTTGTGTTGGTGAGAGAACAGAAAAGCAGTGGTACATCAAAAAAAAAAATTTTCTAAGAAAAAAATGTAAACAACAAACAAAAAAGCTTAACACCTTTGCCTTTCAGGTGTGGTATGCCTGTAAAAAAGCACGATGTTGGACAAATAAAAAAAAACAGAACAAACAACATAGCCCACACTTGTGCTTGATATGCCTGGAAGCACGGCTGTGGGCAGAGGGATGCTCCACAGCAACTGCACATGATCCTGGTCTCCCTGCACTAGTGGTTCCTCCAGCAGAGCACACATCGCTGCCACCTCCAGAAAGGCGTGTCAACATGTGTGTCAGCTGGGGATCCGCCAGGAGCCAGGGCAGCCAAGAAATACAGACACAGCCAACAAAACAAATATGCAATTAAAAACACATACGCATACTTATATCATGCATACACACACAGTTGCGCACACAGATTTCCACATATAACCACAAAAACACACACCGACAAATGTAAACATGACAAAAAACACATGCACACATATTGTTGCACAAACATAATAATTACCCATATACACATTTATGTACATGCAAAATAGTTCAAAAACAGTCATTCATACAGCCGTATAGCAAACACGTGTACGATGGCCCATCCTTGTACCCATCAATATAGGTCAGCAACCAGTACATGCATAGGTGTGACCCGTCAACATAGGATTAAGTATATCCAAATCAGTTTTCGTACGCCAGCACTTACGCATCTGTGTGTTTTAGTATGTTTCCTCCTAGCCTCACAGCTAAAGATTACCCATACAGGTCTGACATTCTACGATGTTTTGTTTTGTTTTTGTTGTTGTTGTTACCCCATCATAAATGATGTATCACTAATATCACAAATGATTGTACCTGATTATATGATTTTCAGAGAAAAGACTGCACTGTCTATGGTAGCAGTTCTCGAACTGGGTGCCACAAGATTCCATAGTAAGATATATTTTGTATCTAAATTTAAGTTGCTCTCAGTTTAGGGTGTCATCACAGAGAAGAGTGTAGAACTACTGATCTATGGCATTATGCCTCAGAATTAGAAAAAGAATGCATTTCCACCTGGTAGCCCAACTTCAATAATTTTCTTTATTTCTTAATAGGCTAAGAACAATTAATGCTGCATTGCTGGGGATGGCATGTACGTACATGACATGCCCACTGTTTGTGTTTAGTTTATTATTCTTTACACATAGATGGCTCCACAAGTACTAAGTAACCAACGAGCCTATTACAAGGACTACCTATCTCACCCATTTACCCTTTTCCTTGATATCCGGAAATATATATATTTTTTTTATCTATAATACTTTTAATAATAATAGCATTTATATTGATAGCACTAGTAAAAGATAATAATTAAAAAAGATCAAGGAAAGGTGAAATCATGTGAGGTCACAAGGTGTACTAATTTACTCCCTTGTGGCTCAGCACTTGTGGAGCCATCCATGTGTAGAGACATTTCACGGAGGATTACTGCAGGGAAATCAAAATTTTCTTGGTGGTATGGGTTTGATATGGAAATAACTGTAATGAAAAAGTGAAATATTAACCTGCAGCATCACTTTCTCCATTTGTTTTATGAAACAGCTACATGGTCTCTTTTTTAATATTAATTGTTTTCCATTTTTACCATTAGTTTCTATTTCCTCCCATTATTTGCACCTTATGACTGTTGCATTTGTAATGTCCACACACTCTTGATATTTTCTAGGGGAAAATCATCTCATCTCATTTGCTTAGTTGGCTTCATTAGTGGGGATATAATTGTTGTTAAATCTTTTCAGAATGTATACACTGTAAATAGCATTTTCTTCTCTTTTCAAGAGTGCTTTTTTATATAATTGTTTTTTATACATCCATACAGCTTCATATAACTTCTCTTAGTATAAAATAAATGATTTTGAAAATGTAGAAACGGTGTGAATGAGAATGAATTTCTTTACTGTATATTTTTTTTCACTGAACTGTATTCATGCTGACAAATGTAGAAATGGTATGAATGAGAATGAATACCTTCATAATACAAGAGATTTTGATAAGCATGAAACAGATATTTGAAATGGTACAGTATGTTCACCTGTAAAATGATCTAAAGATAAAAAGTAGATTCACCCCTCTTTTCTGGCTGCTATTAATGAACACTAGATCTCTCTATAGTAGGCCTATGCATATAGCTAATATCACCATAACTTTCAGGTATCTGATCAGGTATGTGTTGTTGCAAGTGCTCATATACATGATCAAATAAAATGTTCTATGTTATATAATATACCACCTTTCTGCATATTGTCTTAATGAAGAACACTGGTGACTAGTATTTTCTCTTAACCCAATCGCGACAGGTATGTCACGTATCCATGACATGCCCACTGTGAGTTTACCTGTTTAATTGTTTTTACACATATATGGCTACACTTGTACTAAAACACCAATGAACCAATGCTAGCATCTTTCAAACAATTTTTTGGACTTTAGTACTTAAAAAATTTTATTTGTATGTATGGAATGTTCATAAGTAGAATGTTCTTAAGTAGGGGACTATCTGTACTTCCTGTCTCGCCCCTTTACCCTTTTCTTTAATTTACGAAAATATTTTACATTATCTTATTTTGCTATTACTATTGTTTGTAACATTATAGTAATTATAATGTTTATATTAAAAATAACACTATTGATATTCATAGCACTAGTAAAAAATACATTTTCCCGCCAATTCAAGGAAAGGTGAAGGCAGGTAAGGCAGAGCCATATATGTGTAGAGACATTTCACAAAATATATAATAAATGAGCACAACGTTTTCACCATTTTTTGCACGTTTTCCACGTTGCGAATGGGTTAATTGTATATGTCATGTATTCATACTACCAAAGATTTACCAGTTACTGGTAGTGTCTAGTATTTAGAATGGCAGATAAAACAAGGAGAATAACCTTATTATTCTGTGTTTGTATTTAAATATCCTTGCTAATATTTAACAGGTGTACACACACAC